GCACCTTTTCTTGAATGCCGCATCCAATGTCTCTGTCTTGCGTTTCATGAGAGAGATCCGCGACGATTCCAGGTTCTGCACCACTCGACGACGGCCAATCTGCTCGCCCTGCAGAATAAGTTATATCTTTGGGCCTTCATTACCCTCCAGATATGTATAAAATGGTGGCGATGAGCATATCACAGGCAAGCGGTTGCATAGTTTAGAGGATTCAGTCTTTTGGCAGAATAGCCAGCTTCTTTTCGAGCTACTCGTTACCATTTTATCTGAAGAGCTGAGTAACCGCAGAAGGTAACCAGTAATCCTGTAACAACTGATCAACCCAACACAGACCATATAACAGGAACCGATGCAACCGCCCATCTTCTACCACTTGGTATGGAGGATGACTTACCATCTGCCATGTTCTCTCGACTCGTCCACTCCGCGAATCGCCTGTAGCTCTCTAGCGATTTCGACCGCATTCTGCACGACCAGTTCGTCTTCACTCAGTTTTCCCACAGTTTTTCGGAAGCAAAACAGCTCCGTTGAGGCGATAATGTGAGCCAAGGTGCCAAAACGATGGCATAACATGGCGATGAACTGAAAGATTCTCTTTGATATCCACTATTTTCACTTATTTCAGGAATATTTCATATGTGTGCATAAAGCTCCTTAGATGTGTCATCGTAGGAGAAGAGGGCTCGGAAAGACAGAACAACCGCATATCTGCACAATGAAGTTTTCTGTTTCCCTGTGACTCTTCGATCAGCTCTAATTAGACGCATCAGTAATAGTGAAAAAGATTCTGAGCCTCGAAACGAAGGCTGGTCAAACTTCAAGCACACGATGACTAAAGGAGGAACGGCTACGGTAGTCTCATCCGTCCGGCTCAAAAAGCGCTCCAAATAATGTTCCAATGTCCCGTCTATCGCACTTCACTTCTCAGATCCCACCCTTTCCACAAGCTCTTCCCTTTGACCGGTACGTCCCAAACCAATAGATAACCTCATATATGTGCTCACAAGAGGAAAGCAATAGAAGAAGTTAGAAATTAGAACGCCCTTTAAAGCGTCTCGTTTGAAAGGCGCCTACTGTGGAAGGGGAATTGAATCTCAACCTGCTTATTTGTTGATGTTCCTTTTCGTTCTACCTTACCATCCTAATAAATATTACTGTTTATTACAACGGTGACGAATAGGTTGACATTGTCTGTACATACCAGCCACCGATGCATTCCCCTCTCTCAGACCCCCCCCCCTCTTTTGGCACTTTTTGATCGTTGTTTTAAAATTTCAGCCACGTCCTCACTATAGGGCGCACCATCTTGATGGAAATAATAAGAATGCATTGGCTCAAGATCCTCCTTGAAGGCACCTTCCATACGATATCAACAGAGGCGCTTCGTTCAATCCGATAGAGGCGCTTGTAACAACTAGCAGAGTTTCCCAGCATGCCAGTAGGCAGAGTTTTGATTGCAGATCTCTCGTTCAGGA